ATACTTTTTCATATTTGTTGATGATCTGTATTTCATCTTTGGAGAACTTTATGTTAATTTATTTTCCTGCATGTGTTCTTGAGTTCTTTATGTATTCTGTACATTAGTCTTTTGTAGAAGTATACCTCGAAAAGAATTTCCCTCACTGAATACACACTATTTTAAGAATATGAAATTAGAAGGGAAAGTATTTGAAAAACAGAAAGGGGCCACAGAAATGGTGGGGAGGACACAAGAAGAAGAGATGTGTATGATCAAAGTACATTATATACATGAGTGAAAATGGCACAATGAAGCACATCATAATTTATATATATATAATTTATATACATATATAATGTATGCATTTAAAATACAGCATAAAAACTTAAAGCACAAATATAAAGACTTCTCATATTCAAGAAGATACTCTACATGCTATCTGAAGAGAAACGTAAACACCAAACTCTCTATAAATCCCATAATCTACAATAGTGACCTGCCTGTATGATATGCTGGTTCAATAAGGGCACAAACTTTGTGGGAATAACATGCCACATATGATTGGATTTATAGCCTACTCCATAAGATGGAAGCCATGCCTGTTACTGCCCAGATGACCAAGAACCTCATATTAGACAGGCCAGGGGACTAGGGAGAAATGAACTGCTATTATTCTGCTAAAGGAACGCAATAAAATCATTCCTAACTACATTCTGCTATCCCATTAATTAGTGCAGCTAACTAGAGGCAATGAATAGGAATCACATCTTCCATGTTTCAAATACCCACAGCTGGAAGTACTTGTAAGCTAGCCATTAGTTGATTATCGTTTTCTTAGTGATGGTGACTCTAATTGGAATCAGATGACATCTTGTATAGGTTCAATTGGCATCTCATTGATAGCAAAAAGATATTAAATACTTTTTCATATTTTACTCTGCCATCCTTAGAGAACCTTGCTCCCTCAGTAGATAGTAACTATCAGAGAGATCCACACTGGATTGTATGCAGAGAGTGAAAGACTGAAACAGTGAGTCCTCGATGGAATGTCATCATCAGGCCTTCCCACAAGGACTCAGGAAACCATGTAGAAGAGGAAGCAGAGACATTGAAAGAGCCAGAGGGGATGGATGACACCAAGGAAACCATGTCTTTCAAATACAGCGGGACTGATGCACATATGAATCAAAGATCCTGTGGCAGTATCACAGAGCCTGCCCATGTTCAAGCCAATGGGGCCCTAATGTTGAAAGTGGGAAGTGGACACAAGCTTCCATCCCCAACTAAAAAGCCATCTCCAATAGAGATATGCTTGTAATGAGTAAAAATCAATTTTCTATAATGGAGTATGACTGTGGTATTAACCATACTGAAGGTTAAGCATCATGCCTAAAAGTAAATGGCCAACACAAATGAACTAAATTGTATTTTTATAGATGTTTTGTCTCATATCAATTTGTTTTTGTCTTATTGGTCTTTTGCTTATATTATGGTTCCTGGGTTTGTATTTAACAGTGTGTGTGTGTATTTTTCTTATACTTTCTCTGTGTTTTTTGTTTGTTTGTTCATTTTTTAAAGCTGGTTTGTGTGCCTTTTTGATGCTTACCTGTTTGTTTTCTGAAGACAGGGAGAAAGTGTGGAGTCGGTGGGTGGAGGATGGGAAAATTTGGGACAAGTTGGGGGAGGTAAATATATTTTATGAGAAAAATTATTTTCAATAAAAACACTATGATCTACCTTATGAAAAGTCTTTGGCAATTATTACTTGTCCTGTTCTTACTTACCCTCCACTAAACTGAATATTGCAAATATTTAGGAAGGAAATGTAATAGATATCCAGAAGCATTGAAAGCACTTGGTAAGTATTGGAGTGGAAAAAAAACTAAATAGCATAATTATAATGGTCATTTTGAGATCGTATGATTGTCAATACAAGGAAGACATTTGTGTGTGTATGTGTGTGTGTGTGTGTGTTCTCAAGCAAAATTTAGAGGATAGTGATTTTAAAAAGATACATGCCTGATCTCAGACATCATCACAAAACAAGTAGGTCATGTTGGAACAGGTCTACTCTAAACAACAGAACTCAAAAGTGACAGAGCACAGGATGCTTGTGTGTGTGAGCTCATGGGGCTTTTACAGAAACAAAACAAATAGAAACCTTCCAGTTTTCTCAGTGTAAGGATAGTGATTTTAGATTGGTGAATGACAGACACCACCCTGGAGGAAACTGGTTGGACCTGGAGAGATTTCCAACTCTGAGCTCGAGGAGGTGTTAGTGAGTAATGGCGATGGAGCTTTGCTGAAACACCTGCAGACACTGAGAATTTTTGAAGGACCGGGAAAGAAATTCTCTCTGGATGCTGGAGCTCAAGTAAGTGATCTGTGTGTGGATGTTGGAGACAAGGGTATTTCCTACCTCTGTAAGTCTAGATTTTAACTCTAACTTCCTACTTAATAGACAGTTCTTCGTTATATGTGGGGCTTTGAAATCTGACAGATAGTGAAATCCTTCAAAAGAAAGGGTTTGCTTTTCAATTTCATTATTAAGATTGGTGACATGGTTCAGTGTGCCATGAATTTCAGAAAGTATACCATTTCCACAGAATATTTTTTAAAAAGAATCCAGAGAGAAAATAGTGGGACCAATGTTTTAAACTTGACATTCATAACACATGTGTCTCTAGTTAGTAAATTCTACTTACTGATTATTAGTTATATAGTAAGACATATGTGATAAAGTTTGTACACATAACTATCCAACAAAAGATCATCACCCATACTTTGTTTATTTAAAAAAATACTCTTCATCAAGGGATTTTTTTATTGAGGTTTAACTGAAATGCATCAAAGTCTGCATTATATTCAAGATAAATAATTTGTAAAGTTTTAAATATGTGTGCAATCAAGAAATTATCACTACAGTAATATAACAAGTAACTGTGACCTCAAAACTGTCTTGGTGAGCTTTTGGAATCATTCCCTCCTATCTCTTTCCTTTGACTCTAGGACATCTATTTGACACTGATAAACTATTATAATTATTTGCATTTCTAGAAGATTTTATGTACTTGTAATTATAACATATGTACCAATTTCTTCAGACTCTTTTGACTTAGCCAAGTCCTCTAGAAATTGGTATCCATCACTCATAGAAAAATCTGTCATATTACTTTTTATTAATGCATATATTATATGACTAGCTTAGCTTGTTTGTCCATTCTTCAATCAGAAATGTGTCAAGTTATTTCCAGTCATTGGCTTTTATACATTGCTGTTAGGTATAAATCTTCCTGTACTTTTGTTTCTCTTGTCATTTGCTATTAAAGAATAACTATCCTTAATAAATTCAAACATTAGGTTATTTTTTTCTGAAAGTAGTGGATGATAATGAAGAGAGATACTGAAATCATACCAGTAATTCAGTGATCACATTTCTTATCATGTCTCCTTGTTTCCTGTAGCCTCCTTTTCCAGGTAGTGAGCCAACTAATGATCCTCCCACATCATGGAATTTAAGTCATATGATGGAAAAACATTATAGTACTATACAATGTGCTATTTGTTAGATAAATAGAACACATTTCATTAACTTTTAATGTGTGTACACTAACCTCACAAGGGCCAAGGAGACTTTTCTCTTTCTTTAGTAGTAGAGGGATTTTGCTTATCACCATGACCATAGGAGTTTTACACCTCGTGATCTTGACTCACATCTACAGCATATGGTGATGTTTAAAGTCCTGTATTTCTCTATTGTTTGAAATCCTTCATTATTGTTGGCTGTCAGGCTGATTTAGCAGGCTGACACAGGGAATCAATTCATGTCTATGACTTTAAGGTGATGTGTGCTTACCTGATAAAATACAGGATACCCAGCTAAATTTGAAGGATTTATTTGTCTAAATATGCCATATACAAATATTTGGTTATATTTATGTAAAAATTAGTCATCTGCTTAAAGCTGAAATTCAAATATATACCATGATTTTGTTTATAGGGATAATTTAGATAAAGTTTCAATTTATCAAGACCCAAAATTTTGTCTATTTATTTATTTACTTACTTTCCTTGTTATTAGTCCTCTGGGGCTTTCTAGTTTTCTACAGTGAGTTTTGATCATATTCATTTCCCCAAATCATCCCATATCCATTCCATACCTGTTTATTCAACTTTGTGTCCGTTTTTTAAACTCTTCAAGATCAATTTTATGCTGCCAAGATATTCTAGGAATTGCAGTCTTCCTCTGGAGTGTGGTCAACTTTTAAATATTTGTGCTTAAGAAATCTGGCCCTTCCTTTCCCAGAAGCTACCAATTGGTGATTGCTCTATGCCCAGGGATAGGATTGGTTCCCAGCCTCCTTTCATGTTTGGCGTCGATTGGGTTTTCACAGGTTTTATGCATGTAGTCTTGTTGCATATCCAGAAGAGTATCTGAAGGTGTTTCCTTGTAATCATCCATCATCTCTGGCTCTCATTCTGTTTCTGACTCCTTTTAAACAATGATCTCTGAGCTATGGGAGGGGGAGCAGTGAGGAATACATATCCCCTTTAGGACTAATCATTTCTCAGTCTCTTATTTTCTGTACTAGTCGTAGTTATCTGTGTTAATCACCATCCACTGAAAATAGAAGCTTCTGAGATGGTGACTGGAGGATTAATTATTTGATGGGTACAAGGATATGTTATTAAGAGTCAATTCAATATTATGTCAATTTAGCAGCATAGTAGAGTTGGTATTCCCTAGGGTCTATGGGCTGGTCTAGCTGTACTTAAGTAATAGAACATGATGAAATGCAAGAAATTAAGACAATGGAATAAAGGTACTGAGACAATCTCTCCTGATCAGAACATGTGTGAGAACATAGGTATTCTATCAAGCACTGGAAAGCCTTACTCTATAAAATGGAAAGTATTAAGCTTGTCCTTTTTATAGTTAAGAACATCTGTCTATCTAGACAATCTTTGTCTCATGTCTCATTGTCTATGACCACTTTCTAGTCTCAATTCCAGATATTATGAAGCTTAAATTCTCTTCCTTTTCTGAATACTGTGGATGCTTTCTTTTTCTGCAAGTGATGATGTCTTCAGGTAAGAAGTTTATTTATTTTCATTTATGTTTTCCTTTAAAATATTTTCAAAATTCTTTTGACCATTTAATACATGTGTGTAGTGAACTTATGTTCAGCTCATTCCCTGTTCGCACCCCTTCCTTCTCCTGATCAGACTTTTCTGTTTCCCTACAAGTCCCACAGTCCTTCTACCATCTTTTTGTGCCTGGCCCTTTGAGTATAATAAGAAATGCCTGCATGGGATTGGGCAGAGGGTTATTTACTAGAACACAGGCAACTTATTCTGCCACAACATTGAAAAAATGTTAGCCCCTCTCCCAGAAACCATTAATTGTCAACAGACTCTTAGGCCTGGGTGGAGAACTCTACTCCTGAACCCCTTCCCCACCCACGATGAAATATTGATGGATTTGATAATGTGCAGCACTGTGTCAATGAACCCATGGCAGAGCACTCCACCATCAGTGGGTGATGTAGATGCCCCATTTAGGGAAGAGCCATCATCTCTCTCCATCACTCCACCATCACTTATTCTCAGCATCCTGGCCAGTTATGGGCAGAGAGATCAACACAGATCTCAGATGGAGGAAGGGACTTGAAGATGACGGACTCATTTACTTTTTTCTAATTAGTTTTTGCTGTGGAGCCAATCTAAAATATTCTTCTCATGACTCATCCTGAACTGATGGAGCAGAACGTCATCACTCCATTGTTAAAACAAGTAAAACATTGAAAAACAAAACACTGAAAATCAGAAAGTCATTGTAGCGCCATAAAAGTCAGGTCACTAGGAGACCAGAAACCAAAATAAACATCCCATTCTAAGTTGTTCCTATGGGGGAAATCATCACAGTCCCAACAACTGATCAATTCTATGGCCCTGTGAAGTTCCAAAATAGTTGCATCGAACAGATTCTTCTTCTATATGACTGTTTTTAAATAGAGAAACTAATTATTGTTGCTTCCTGCTCCCTCATCTTCCCTAATATATTTTTATAAGTGCAATGAAAGTATTGAGTTTTCAAAAAACAAAACGTTGATGGACTGCAGGGAGAATAGTCAGAGCTGAACAGTTAGATCAGGTAGGTACGATGGGCAGTTTTTAAAGTTTTTTAAAACAAAGTTAAGAGGCAGCGGTGGTTTTGGCTTCAGACTTACTTTGGTATTTTTTGTTCTTCCACAGAGAAACTGATGGTGACTACTCCCACAAGACATGTGCTAGCTAGAGTAGGAGGCCAGGCTGAGCTCAGCTGCCAGGTGACCCCACCACGCAGTGTGGAGTCTATGGAGGTGCACTGGTTAAGGAATGGCCATTTCCAGCCTGTTTACCTGTACAGAGGCCATGGAGTGGATGGAGAAGCTGCACCTGAATATGTGAACCGCACAGAGTTTGTGAAAGATGCCATTGGGAAGGGCAGAGTGGCCCTCAGAATCCATAATATCAGCATTTCTGATGATGGGCTTTACCGATGTTCATTTAATGAGAGTGGCTTCATTGATGTGGCCAGTATGAACCTCAGTGTGGCAGGTAAGCTGCTTGGGGAACATAGCATACCAGTGTTCTTGTGTCCAATAAACTGAAATACATGGAAATTATCTTGATGGTTTTTAAGGTTTTTTCCATATTTTAAGTTTTTAAGTATCTAAGTTTTATTATTTTTTAAATAAATCTTTTTTTTCAAAGTTTATTAAATTATGAAAGTTTCCATTTCCGCCCCTCCTCCCAACACCCTCCCTCCTCCTCCCTCTCTATCCCTAAGAGCAGTCAGGGCTTCCAGCCCTGTAGGAAGTTCAAGTTCCTCCCCCCTCCCTCCAGGTCCAGGAAGGTGAGTATCCAAACATACTGGATCCCAAAAATCCAGTATATGCCGAGGAAACAAGTCCCAGTGTCATTGTCAATGGCTTTTCAGAAAGGCTCCGGGCCAGCCACATTCAGAAAATCCGGCCACATTCAGAAAATCTGGTTGGATCACATGCTCGTTCAGTCCCCGTCCAACTGGCCTTGGTGAACTCTCATTAGATCAGTCCCCTTGTATCAGTAGGTGATCGCACCCCTCGCGCTCCTGAGTTTTTTTTCATGTTCTTCCTCCTTCTGCTCCTCATTTGGACCATGGGGGGCTCAGTCCGGTGCTCCAATGTGGGTCTCACGGAATGCATTGTTACCCTGAGAAACACTGATTGTATATATAAGCTGTGTGAACAGAGAATTTAGGAAACTTGGAACAAGAAAATTGGAACAATAGATTTAGAACTAGAGAACTGGAACTAAAGATTTAGAATTGGAGAATTGGAAGTAAAGTTTAGAAAGAATTGGATTGAGAGAATTAGAGCTAGAGAATTGGAACTGGAGATAGAGCTGGAAACAAAAGGCACATAACCCTCAGATCGTGTGTGTGAACTTTTGCTTTTGGTAGATAGGAAATTTCCCTGAAGTCCTCGCTGCTCTGAGACTTTCTTTTTGCTTCCCTGGGTGCAGCCCTGGGAGCTGGATTTACAGGTGGCAACAGTCTCCCCTCTTTTCTCTTCACCTGGTTGATTTTTTTCTTTAGCTCTGTGGAAGCATTTTTGTTTTATGAATTTCCATTTATCAGTCGTTAGCCTTAACTCTTGGTTAAATGGAGTACTATTAAGGAACAGTTTTCTTAACATAAATTATGTAGAATACTGTCCATATTTTCTTCTAGAAGTTTTATGTTCCCTGTTTATGCCTTTGACTGATTTGGAATTAGTTTTTGTGGTCTAATTCCTTTCTTTCTTTTTTCCTTCCTTCCTTCCTTCCTTCCTCCCTTCCTTCCTTCCTTCCTTCCTTCCTTCCTTCCTTCCTTCCTTCCT